CAATTAAGAAATATAGTACAATTTTAACAAAACTACAAACTGGTCAGATAAGATGTATTAGCCTTTGTATACGTTTGAAGATGGTACCACGATGGTTATATATGGTTGTTGTCAGAGTGAATGTGAATGAAAACATGGTGTTATGTATTAATTTGTTTGATGATATTGCAAAATCAAATGTGCATGCACCACTTTACGGCATCGATAGAATCGAAAGAACGAATAACATAGTGAAAAGACAGAATTCGCTAGGCCAGTCGTGCAAAGGTTACAAAGTCAAATTATATGGGTATATAATAAAACAACACGTTGTGTTTGATGCTGGCCACTTTTGTGACTTTATATTGAAATAAATGAAATGTACTGAATAAAACAAATTCCTATGTATACACAGGATAACATAAATATTTAGAAAAATCTTAAAAGTAAACATTCAAGCAAATTGAACAATGAGACATACGGTAAAATACAAAAATATTTTGAAGCTGAAATCGCCGTAAACATGAATGTTATTTACTAAGCAGACTAATACCAAAATAAGGTAATCACAGTAATATAACTGATCGAACAAATTATAACAAGTAACGGTGTTGACAATGGAAACGCTGAGACAGGTGGCACAATAACACTATAGAAGCCGTATAATCTTGTTAGAGATTTCTGTGGATGCATCTGCCTAAAATCGGAAGAAACGGAGCATATTACTATTTTATATACATGAAGATACGGTAGGGTGGAGGGGGGGAATTTCTATCAAAAACGACAACACGTCTGCTCCTCTAAAAGCAATTGGTTCAACTGACACCAAGGCTCTTAGCCGAGAGAAGTGCTCTCCGCGCATCTGATGTAAAATTACTACCATTGGTTGGACAAAACACGTGATACAAAACATTAAATTCATTCGTTCTTGGCAGCGGGTTACGCGAAATATCTGGTTGGAAATTGTATACCCAATGACATTTTCCATAAATGTCCTTACGCGCGCGTAAATAGTTTCATGTGATGTGTTCTAATGCATGTAAGGGGCCTGCAAGTTATTGCTAGAATTAAATGAATGAAAACATGGTGTTATGTATTAATAATTTGTTTGATGAGACTGCAAAATTAATTGTGCATGCACCATCCTACTTTACGACATCGATAGAATCGAAAGAAAGACAGAGTGAAAGGACAGAATTCGCTAAGTTAGTCGTGTAAATATTACAAAGTCAAAGTATATGGGTACATAACAAAAACAAAACAAAAACGTTGTGTTTGATGCTGGCCACTTTCGTAACTTTGTATTGAAATAAATGAAATGTATTGAACCAAAAAATTGGCTATGTATATACAGGAAAACATAGCTATTTAGACAAAGTCTAAAGAGGAAACATGCAACCTAATTCAACAATGAGACATACGGTAAAATACATAAAATATTTTGGGGTTTCAACCGCAATAAACATAAATACAGTAATTAGAGTATATATATATATATATATATATATATATATATATATATATATATATATATATATATATATATATATATATATATATATAATGACAAGCAAACAGTGAATATATATATATATATATATATATATATATATATATATATATATATATATATATATTACATACATACATACATACATACATACATACATACATACATACATACATACATACATACATACATACATACATACATACATACATACATACATACATACATACATACATACATACATACATACATACATACATACATACATACAACGGCGCAAAAAATAGTGTCTAACTAGCCAGAGTGCTTTCGACTCTTAATGAGTCTTTTTCAAGGGCAAATACAAAACAGACATGACAAACAAAAAACTTTATATGGCTGTTTCTACAGGAATTAAACCTATAAATTTTTTACGTTTTAGCTAGTTTTTTTTAACTTGTTACGGATGCTTGAAAAAATTTTTATTGACCTAGAAATAGACGAGTCATAACGATATCTGTTGTTTTATTTAAATATATGTAAGCGCAAATTATACCCCGAATATTTCATTGTTATATTTGTAATTATGAACTATCAAACAAATAAAGGAATTATTTAAAAGAAAATGTATCGGCTGCAAAATATAAGAAATTTCATTTGTGCATGGCTGTTTTTGCCAAGTCTTCTTGGTTTTAAATCGCTTGGTTTCAATGTTCTAAGGCGGCGTATCCATTAAAATTCCTTTTCTTTATTGGTTTCGGAACTCCATTTAGGTTGCGAATAACTGCGTGTGAGCGTAGGATTTATATTTTTAATGTAGCTTTTAACAATTTTTCAGATATATCGCTACGATGTCTGCAGTGTGACAGAGTAAAGTGATGTCAAGCACTGGAGCGTCATGCCGCAGATATGTAGCATGATGTCCCACCCAGTCACATAATCCTTACACCAGGCTATCCAGTCATAACACCAACCTTTTTATGCTGAGTGCCAAGCGAGGTAGCTGTTATTACCATTTTTAAAGTCTTTGGTATGACTCGGCAGGGGTTTGAACCCACGACCTCCCGCATCCAAGGCAGACACACTAATCACTATGCCAACGGAGCGATTTTTAAAAAAAATTGTAATAAGTGTTTTATCATTGAAATTGTGTGCCAGAGGAAGAGAAGCGCTCTGCGATCGGGCTTCTGTACAGGTTCTTTGTCATCCAGTCAGATCTATGAAGGTTGATCCTTTTGAGTAGATTTTCAGTTTCTCCGACATACTGAAGGCTACCTATCATACCTGTGATGAGATAAATTACATTCTCTGTTTTGCACGTTTTGTTTGGACCATGTATGTTTAGTCACTGTGCTAAGAAATCTCCAGGTTACTATCATGTTGACACGTTTTGCATCTTTTATCTCCTCAAGGGCCCGATTGAATAGGGTGGTTTTGATTAGTGGTTGACGTTAGCTTATCCTAGTATGGGCGAAGCTAACGCCAATTACTTCAAGACCACCCTAGTCAACCAGGCCCCTGTGGCGATAAAAGGTGCAAAACCTGTGAACATATGAAAGAGACTAGAACCTTAACTAGAGAAAAACCGGTACAATATTATCTGAGTGTCTTCCGCAAGTTCAAGTTACTTTAAGCCACGTGGTTTTACTGTCACCAGGGTGAGAAAAGAAAAGCATGTAATCCATCGATCAATTATACAGCTCCATTAAAAGTAAAACATCGTCTTTAACATTGTGTTGGATACTACTATATATATATATATATATATATATATATATATATATATATATATATATATATATATATAGACGGTTGTGTGTGTGATATGGACAGATTAACGTATGTTGTGTACTTTGCAGTTTCAATTAATTTATGCTGGAAGTGCCTTTAGCTTAGAAATATACAGTAACCAAATAAAGTACGAAAGAAGGATTTAATTAAACAAATATAAACCTAAGTTTAAATATCATTCAGTGACCACAGAGCCTGAAGTAAAAGTAGTCAGCTTTGTTTAAATTTGATATAAACATAATATTCTATACTATTATGTGTGCACTGAGCTTGAAGCAAAATCATTCCGTATCGTCAAAATTAGACATAAACATGATCTTCCATAATATTCTGAGTGCACAGAGTTTGAAAGAAAAGTATTCCCTAATGTCAAAATGAGAGCATGCATACATGCATAGAAATCCTACATATTTGTACGAAAACATATGCTGCGTAAAAATGTCTTCACTTTTTCACCTTTTCTTTCTTATCAGTCCTTAAAAAGTGTCGAAAACTTCCCCAAAAGGATCTACTTCGCAGTTTCTGAACTTGATCTTGAGATAATTCTTCCTTTGAGACTACGTTTTCGATCTCCGAAACAAGTAAACTCTTTGACACTGCATCAAGTTTTATCCGATTGCGTCCAATCGTTGAGTCCTTTAGAACCATATTGTACCTCACAACGGGGCGAAAGTCTCAATTGTGACACACTCGCCCGTTTCAGAAATAGTCGATAAATGCATTTACAAAAGAACAAAAGTTTGCCGGTCACATAAAGTCTTTATGGAGAAAAACAAAATTTTGTCATGACAATGGGTTACAGTTCTTTGGTCACTCACCCCTGTCTAAAGTAATTCTTTCCCATCCCTTTATCTTTTACGACACTCAATAGTGAATATATATTTTTTTCTTCATAATCTGGTGAATGAGTTGCCTTTCAAGCTGAGAGCATATCAAGAAAGAGGCTACGAGGCTAAAGGCTTAAGCCACTGCCTATGGGAGATTACATAATTATTTGGGTGGGGTGGGTGGGGTGGCAAACATGTAGTTTTCAGCGATTAAGGTTTACAGATAAAGGCCCAAGCATGTTTAGAGGTGAAATTTGACGGGTGGGGAAGATAGAGGGCAAGTGCTCATACACCTTTGTCTCTGTGTGCGATCGCACATGCCACTGCATGACGTAATTTGAATACCAAACAGAGCTACTCATTGTTGTCCTGTATTTAAATGCATCCAACTTTTAGATCATCTAGTGATGTGTTTATTTTTTGCCAATTTGAACTAAAAGTATTGGTTGACAAACTTGTTCAACATTCCCAGATTAAGCCCCCTTCCCCATTACTCTTCTATGAACCAGACGCGTAAGCACTATTTTTACTCCTGTACAGTATTTTGTTTGAATACTATGGGTATCTAGCACAATGCTATTCGCACAAAACGACGACAGTGAGCAGTGGAAATGAACATGTATATACTACATAACACGCATTGGGTAGAATTGCATATATCGTATAACACACAAACGATAAAAACGAATGAGACAGTTGTGATTTGAACTTTTAACATAGCTTTAAATAAATTTCAGTCCTATCGCTACGACGTGTGCAGTGTGGCAGTTTATAGTGATTTTCAGCAATGGGGGATTATGCCGCGGACATGTGGCATGATGTTTCACTCAGTCACATTATCCTGACACCAGGCCGACCAGTCCTAACACTAACATCTTAATGTTGAGCGCCAAGAGAGGCAGTTGTTGTGCCGTTTTGGTAAGTCATTGGTATGACTCAGACGGGGATCGAACCCATAACCTCCAGTTCCGAGGCAGACTCTCTAACCATGATGCCACCGGAGCAGTCAGAATGAGACAGTGATATAGACTTCGACTGGCACACTTTTGTAGTTATTGCCAAGGGTCAATTAAAATACGCATGCAGATTAACCATGATAGGTCAATATTTTTTCATAAATGCTAAGCAACATAAGCAATTAATATATTTTTGTCCTTTGACGGCAATGGCAAGAAAATAAAATTGAGAGGATCAAGTGATTTCATAAGTAATTAGGTAGGATGGTAAATAGGGCTAGTTGCCTTGAACATTTTGTTATGGGTTTTATTTCCACTGAGGTCAAGGTGGGGTTAGGGTGGGGTAGCATTGAAACATAGACTGAGTTATAATCTTTCTTGAAAGGGTTAATAAGGCTAACTGCATTTTAATACACTTGACATTGTGAATGGATCATTTTGTCCCAGGTCTAAAATTAGAACATTCGAAATTTTTTATTACAAGTTTTCTTTCTAATTGTTTGATAAAACCGTTAGTACAGAAGACATATATATCACAGTAGTTTGCATTTAAAGCATTTACTTTTTTGTTATTAATTTCCCCTACCCTCGCATTGTTACGTGTTTTGTTTCAACGAGTGAAAATAAATTATTTTAAAGGTAGTTATGAACGTTATTTCGTGACGTAAAATTTAGATGTATTGTTATACATGCCTATTGTGTTGGGGTTATTCTTCTTGATGATGGTTAACGACGTCTAGAGGATGATCCATAACGATGTTTAACTAAGAATGAGAGAATATCAAAAATTATGAAATTAATGGATGTAATAAATGAAGATCCGAGCAGAGATGCAGCGAAAATTAATTGAGCAATAATAAATTGTACAAGACCAGTTGTGGGATGTACCTCCACCAAAATCTTAATTAACTCGAGTTCTAAAATGCGCTTAGCTGTTCAGTTTACACAGAAGCAGCAAATTAGCGTCATAAAATGAGTGTTTAAACTTCAATTGTCTGCATAACCTGATAACTGATTGCTGGTCACTCCGCAGAATCAACATAGCTAGTTAGTTGGCGCCGACTTGCCAATCTTATATCCTGTCGCCTACTCTTGCATCAACGCCTTGAGCGGTCTAGCTCGGCGTCCAGTCTAAGATCCTGGTCATTCGCTCTTACATCAGGCACGGAAGATATTTTCCTCATAAAATAAACATATGCGGAATAAGTTTTTGCTCATTATTAATGTACTTTCTGAACAGAACATACGTTTCGATTTTTGAAATTGCCAGTATGGTAACACAACAGTCACTCAGTGATAATTGGTTTCAAGCCATAACCTTGCATCCAATATAAAATGCCGTATTTATCCACATGCATTCGATTTCTTTTTTTTTCATGGACAATTAATCACAATTCTGGCTAAATTAATTTATTTCTCCAATATAACTAAGTACAATTACTAATTGATTGATAACATAGTCTAGTCTCGCTTAATGACAATTGAGCCCTTACAGTGTGAACTATTAATCACGACCTTCAACTAAATATCGGACAAATGCACACTTACGGCTATCAATGATCGTATATGATTGTATATCTCATATTGCTGCTCCATTAGTAAAACAGCCCATTCATAGGTTAACTAACAATTCTTTGGCATGAAGCATCACTCAAACCTATTAATAATCAATCCTTAGCATACATGATTCATATGGCATTTAAAACAAATAAATTTAAACACTTAAAACTCTTCAAGAAGAATTGTGTATGCTATTAAGACTACCTTTTTAGCGTTGAGCTTCGCCCTTATCCATTTAAGCAGAACGGTGTCCTTCCACCCCTGGTTACGTGTCTCTCATGGACTCTCCACTAGTCGTCCCATGGACACACCTTACGCGGGATATCGCCTTCCCCAACGCAAAAATACTAGACTACCTGAAATTGCAGTGTAAGACATTTATAAAACACGAGACTTTGCCAAGGAAACACACCACAAACCGTTAACTTGTCCAATCAGAATTAGGATTATCTAACCGCCATAATTAACATACGCCCCTCCAGGGTTGTAAATGTTTCAATTTTTCCCCGCTTCTCCTAATATATCGATCACTGCAAAATTTTGTTTATGACAAATATTTTAGCAAGTACAAACGCTGTTTATGCAACATTTCAGCCCATGACATTTCGATAAACAAAACCCACTCATCGCTCCATTGTCCACGTTCGCCTGATATAGTTATCAAAAAGAATTTCATTGGGTCTCAATAAAATACTTAAAAGGGCCAATATCGTTAAACATTCCAAAATCACATACATCAATTTAAAATTGTCATATGTTACAACGACATATAAAAAATTCACTCTTTTATGTGTCATATAAAATCTGCAAAATTCACTCTGTTACACCCATAATTTCGTGCATTGCTAATATATTTTCCAAATCATTATTGACATTGTTCGATAAAATAAGTTTCAGCATTACCATAGTTGGTTGTAAAAAATCAAATACGGTCATTTTCCACCATAATGATGTATATCGACATACGCCAGGAG